AGGAAACGAAAACCTCCTCCTCGGCCGTATTGATTACGACTGCGTTCGAGATTATAAGAGAGTGTGATCGAAGCGGTGGAGAGCAGGTGGAGAGAATAAGGAGCGCTTTAGTCTTCGATACTAGTCCGCTAACAATCATAGTGATAGTATAATAATACCATTAGAGATTAATTGTACAACAGCGAAGAGCGCCTTCTCTGCCGAGAGAGGGAGAAGGTGAAATAAATAAGCAACGTACTTGTGTCTTATGGCGTCCGATTACGCCAACAGGCAATAAAAACAGGAGACTCAAGGCGCGTACGAAGACGAGAGACCCGTCGCGATCGAGGGGAGACACATTTTCCCTATATCCTACCCCACGCACAGAACCACGGTGCGTGGAAGGGAATTCCTTTTTTTCTTTTGAGACAGCATGGAATCTGCGTATGGACACGCTCGACTTCGGAAGCTGACCTTGTAGCTCTTTAAGCAGTTTTTAACCGTACATTAATGTGCCACGTGGGCTCTTGAAGCAATTTCACAGACCGCGCGCATCGCGCGGTGTTTTTATCCTCTTAACCGAGTACGAAGTAACTAAATAAATAAATAGAAGGTTTACGGAATATATATAAATAAATAAACAAATAAATATATATATATATATATACACAATTTAAGAACCTATTTAATTATATATTCCTATATACATATACAAGGAACACATGTACAGGTATTTTACTAGGTCCTTACGATTTTGAAACTCACTTTCGTTGAAATAGAGAGAGAGAGAGAGAGAGAGAGAGGCGAAAAGCGAGATTCGCTGGAGACCAAAGAAAAGGGATACTTTTCGTGTGTTTTGAGAAAGCCAGAAAGATATTTTTCACTGCGTCGAAACAGTGTAACGAGAACGGCTAAAATGTCCACGATGAGTGTCGTCTCGAACTCTTCCGTCGAGGTGGACTCCGATTCCTCTAACGATGTGTCGAGCAAGGACGACAGCAGTGCCGAAAGAAAATTTATCCTACGCAACGAGCTGTATAGCAGTCTGCTGGCGAGCGCGTTAGGCAAAACCGTACTCAACAGGCATCTCAATTTCAAAGAGCAGGGGATTAACTTCAATCTAGCATCCCTGAAGGACAACTTAAACGCGCTCGGTGCATTGAAGGAGTTGAAGGACTTGAAGGGCTTGACCGTCAGCAGTGTGCCTGCCTTTCCAAGAAACTTAGCCCTTCATCGGGAAGATCACGATGAGGTTGGTTAGAGACTGGACTACTGAGAAATATTTTTACATTGTCGTTGCGTTGTTTGCGTGGTTAAATTTCCATTACATAGGAAGCATAACATTTTTACGGCAGCTGGCATTACGTTTTGCAAATTATCAAATTTTTCGCTTTAAGATTTAGATTTAATATAGATATATAAAAAGGAAAAAATTAATACGCACTGTTACGTTAAAAAAGGAGAGGTTGGAGCGGACTAATGAACTGAAATTTAATTTAATAACTCTTTATTTATATATTTATGTTTGCTTTTATTTTAATTCCTGCTGAAATTTAATATACCATCATTAGTGTTAAGATAGAAAATAGAGTTAAAACTTTCCTTGAAAAGTTACTGTAACGTACGGTTTAACGAACGTCACGTGGGCATATAGTACTCGTGGTATATTAGGAACATATAAACGGAAGTGGAGGAGCGCCAAGTATCAAATGGGAGAACGTAGACGATGTCGCCAAGGATCGTGGGGATAGTTAGCGAAGAGTTAAAGGCCGGTTGACAGGTCGGCGAAACTGTTTGCGAGATAAAGTGCGTTCTAACGTGGCTGGCGTTTGTTGCCGGTATAAGTTGTCAGTTAAAAAGTTAGAGCATAGTTAGTGGCAGCGAGTTTTCGCGTAACGATGGTATAAAATACGAGGCCGAGTCGTGATTTCGCTTGCCCGTATAATACTCTATTTTCTTAGTTCTTCAAACATTCGTCCGATATGTTTTGCCTCTGGCTTGATAATGTTTCATTACACTCGGGAATTGCTTGCCTTGATTTAGACTTGTGATGGCTTTATTTAGATATTGTTTGCGTGATTGTAAAACTGGAAAAAAATCTCGACTAGTAAATATTAAATATTAAAAAATTATTACGCGCGAGATAGAAAGCAGCGATTAATTAGAGCGTAATTTTGGTGACTCAGTGAAAATAAGTTGAAATATAGAAAGTTAAAATGTGAGATTAAAGCGATTCAGTTAAAGTGAACTTTTTATTTAAAAACTGATTAAGCATTTAATACCATTAACAGTAATTGCTACTTATTATACTGTTTTTCACGTTTAAGTGCTAATACATAATTTTTAAGTGGTAGTTTATATCTTTGTTACTTTAAATAAAGATGTAAACTTAATTAACTTTTTAAAAGTGTATCTTAATTAATACTTGAACGTTTTTCTGTTATAATTTATTAATTTGCTGCAATTGTAAGCGCGCTGTCGGCTATTTCCTGTTGCTTCTTTTTGCTTTTGCCCGAGTTACAGCCGTGAAGGAACTTTTCTTGGCACGATTATCGTTTTGGCTCGCTTTAGTCGAAGCTACGGCGATTCCTGACCTAAATCCATAAACATGCACCTGCGTGCTTGCCTCGTTTCAATTGTACAGAGTTTATCGGTTTCGCAATACTCTTCATGAGAATCAATTCTTTATTTTATTTAATCGATCAATTTATTTACGGCAACGAATTTCCATTATGGATTATAGCTTTTCATTGTAATCTCGTAATATCTTTTTATTATTACGGAGAGAAATTGCATAGATTTAATTGTTTTGTAACAGTATAGGAAAATTTACTTAAAGTCAAACATTTTCGACTTGTATGATACAACGATAAAATAATAACGAACGTATTTATTATTGTTTTTATCACGTTTATGCTATCAATCACCAAACTTTTTGTTAGTAGCCAATCACAAATTAATTACTTTTCAAATTAGATTCTATGATATCCGAAGTTTGTATTAAGCCTAGAGAGAAAAATGTTACGGGCATCATATTGCGTGCCCGAGAACATGTAATTAAGTTAGCTCTCGCAATAATGAAACGCATCCATCCCCCTTTGGGACTCCCTTAAGAAATAACACCCCTGGTTAAGCTCTGGGGGAAGGCTATTCGAGAAACTAATAATCACGCTTGCGATTCGTAACACGTTTTTCTCACGATGCACCGCTGCGCGAACAATTAGCAACTTCAATCCAAAGTCCCCCTTAATTAACGATTTACCCCGATTAGTTTGCTATGCCACGGAGAGTCGAGATTTCACTTGGCGAGAAAAGAGACGGTAGGATTAAAACCCGATTATTCCGAGGTCATTTAAAAAGTATGAATATGTATATTTTATTGGAGATTTAAAAGGAGAGGGAAAGAGAGCGTAGTAAGAGAGAGAGAGAGAGAGAGAGAGAGAGAGAGAGAGAGAGAGAGCGAGCAGGACATGGAGATGTAATGTAGAACGCTGTAATATAAATATTAAAGAGACAGAAGGGTTCTGCTTATTCGTAAACTTAAATACTGCTCTAAAATTGATTGTAATTGATTTTTTTTAATATTTGAAGAGATAAGTTCTCATATTTAATCCATCGTTTGTGCTTGTGAGAGAGATTATTCATATTAAATATAGGAAATGAGTGCTAATGATATTACTGAATTTCAACGCAATTTTATTCGACGATATGAAATTTTCCGTTCGAATGGAAACGGATAATGTGGAGCCGATATCGCGAAGAAGAATCGTGAGAGCATTCCAGTAGCAAAAGATGATTTCAGTTGCATCTACTTTTATAACCACCGTGCTCATCGCTCCTGCATTCGACGACGTATCGATTGGATATCGCCCGACGTACGTTTTCTCTTCTTTGTCTGGGGCTATGAATTTCTTACGACGTCTCTTGCGGTCGATAGCGCCGCGGATCGGTATAATTACACTCGAATTTGCAAATGTGTACGTGTGTTGACCGTTATACACATATAGAATCGTCTATGCGGTGTGCAACGGTTAGATCTCTTTACGACGTGTTTGTAAAAGCTCAAGTTCCAAAATACGAATACTTCTTCTCTTGGCAAATATTAGTAAATATTAAAGAATTAATAGCTAAAAGAAGACAATACTTTGTTACATGTATACGTGACAAAATTGTAACGAAACAATTGAATATGATCGATATATATAAATTTTGTCATATTTATATAACATAATTGTGTATCTACTTGTACTTTATCGTTTAATTTAGTACCTATCGTTTGAATTACAAGAGCTGAAAAAGTATACCTATATAAAACGAGAGTTTAGGTATTTTGACGTCAAATATATTTTCTCCGACTTAATACTAGCCGATTCATCGATCAATTTATTAATGGACTAACTCTTCTCGCGCACTCGATCATGAATACCTAATGTTGCCTCACCGCTCACAGACGAGAATGAACGAGTTTAATAAAATCACCGTGATTATATAATATGCATGTGGAAGATTTTTCCGGTCTAAAATCTTGTATCAATTTAAAAAAGGAGCCGACTCGCGCAATTAATTATACTTGGAGCAATCTTAACATTTCTGGAGATACGACGCAAAAGTTCCTTTCAAAGTTGATTATTTTTACAATGTTAAATATTTATATGTATGAAGCAAAAATAAAATACTTATTAATATAAATAATTTGAGAAAAAAACATTGAGATAAAAAATTTTATTTGGGTACATTTATTTTAGCAACGCTCTCTGAGGATAAATACAATTTTTTAGGTTATTGTTACGAAAGAAAGAATAAGAGTATCGAAAGTAATTGTACTATTTCGAATACATACAGGCTCGTAACGAATTTATATTTTGTTTTCTTTACAGAAAAATTCATTTGCGTGGTCGGAGGGTGGTGAAGAAGGTGGCGGTGGCGGCGGTGGAGGTGGCGGAGGAACGGGTGGGACCGGAACAGGTGGTACGGGTCCTGCGACCACCGGTGGCGGCGGACTGGCCCATTGGGTCAGTGTTATGGCGGAGCACATTCACAATCCGCATTCAGCCACTGGCGTCGGTGTTCACCATCAACAACAATCCCCACCTCAACCGCCTTACCCGTGGAACAATGGCCTTTCCAGTGACGTGAGTACGCTCTTATTGCACCCAGTCGATTTCGTATACCTATGCTAAAAACTATGTCAAAAAAATCACTAAAAATTTATTTTCATTTAATATTTTAAATTATTACTGAGTCAGATGCGAGAAGTATTCTATTTCTTTTAATGTTGCGCAGCATAATCGAATATAACGATTTCAGTAATTCTTAGAAAAATAATAATTACAGTAAAATCTGAAAACAAATAATATATTTATATGTTCGAACAACATTGGTTAATCATTGTAATACAAAATAATTTTTCTTTTTTAAATGTACCGTATAAGAAGATTATAAATACACAATTGTCTAATAATTGGATGGCTATAGTGGAAAAAAGAGATTTTTTTTAATTAGCTTTTTGAATCGCGTAGTAACATTTAACAAGTATCATAAAATTTTCAATTTATTTCTCTGTAATCTTTATGTTTCTCGCGGATTCGACGAAAGCTGCAGTCGCGACAAAAAGATATACGACAAAAAATTCAAAAGAAAAAGACAGTTAGAGAGGAATAGAAGGAAATAAGGAAGAGAAGAAGGAACGTCGCCTGAATTAAATATGGCCGGAAGAAAGACACCGTTAAATGCGCGATGCAACGGTACCAAAGCTTTGGAAATGGTAGAAAAAAAATCCCCGTCCCCGACATTCTCTCTTTTTTTTTTTTTTTTTAATGCGCGGTGTCAGCGGGACGGAATACGCTACCCCTGTTTTGATTTTATTTTTTTTCTTTCACCCTTTTGCGTGCTATCTCCGGACGAGAATCCTGCATAATTTAGACGAGACTGGATTAGAGGAGATTGTCAAGAGAGGAAGAGACAATGAGTGTGAAAGAGTCGGGAAGGGGTGAAGTAGTAAAATCGAAATGGAAACGACGGGGGTGAAAAGCAGGACGGGATACAAACGACTCGAAAAACGACGGCGAAAAAGGGCGCCAAAAAGGGTTGAAGATCGCTTTACATAGCGGTGTTCTTTCGTTGGGTTCCATCTCGAGATAAAAAAAGGAGAAGAAAGAAAACAAATAGACGGAAGCGCGAAAAAAAGACTTTCGGGGAAGAGGGAAAAAAGCGTGTATGCGCATTTGCGCGAAAAGGAATGAATAAGAGAGGAGAACGAATAACGGAAAAAAGTAGTTGCTCATTTGAATCGATAGTGGTGGTTATGTGGCGTTTTTCTTGCGTTAATCAGGTAACAGTTCATTTATGGCGCGATTTAAGAGAGGATTAATGAAAGAATCTAATATCAGAGTTTTTAAAATAGTAAAACAAAGAGAAAGAATTTTTTAATCTTATAGTTTTTGCTAAGCTCTCTCTCTCTCTCTCTCTCTCTCTCATTCAAGATGTACCTACTACATTTTTTATTATTCGGTGAGATCATTGTCTGCAATTATGGCATTCGTAACATTATTATAATTGCGCTCCCATTACTGAAGTGAGATCATAGAGAATCCTCGATCATAGAGGACTCGTTTGTTTTTCTTGGACAAGAAATTAGGGTGCGCCTTCTATCTTCGTACGGTGCGAAAAGGACCAGATTTGAATGTGAATAGAAGCGGCAGACATCTCGAGGACGCTCTTTATCGGTCGTAGAACCTGCAGCACGCGGAAGAGTTATCCCGAAGCCTCGTTTATCCTCTCTCTTTGTTTCTTCTTCTCTCTTTCTCTTCTTCCGTTGAGGGCTCACCCGGTTTTTGTCTATGGTTATGGGTGCCCGCGCGGGACCCACGCCGTGGGTCTATCGCAGAGGCCTCGGGAAAAAACAAGGAACTACGACAACGGGGGGATGATTTAAATAATCCGCGGCATGCTAATGTCTCTGGCATTCTCACGGAACACCGTCCGTGAAAGTTCTCGAAGGGGAGGGGGCGATAGTTTGGGAGAAAAGAAAAAGAATGAACGTACAAGACAATCAACCAATCTGCATACGATGCATACGGGCGAGAAAGAGTACTAGTAGTACCCCTTGGCGTCTCTCAAGGGGATGATCGCGTTATCTCGGTGAACGACTTGTGACCAACGGATTGTTGATTGAAATTTAACCGTTAGAGCACAATAAAAATCTCGAAAAAATTCCCGTTTGCAACTAAAATTAGGTAATAGCCATTAGAACCATTGAAAAATGTTACAATCGATTGAAGAAACGTTCACGCTACCGATAATAACCGTCGAAAGCTGAGGGTAAACAAAACGTCTCAGTAGCGGTATGTCAGCGCAATGCGGCGTCGTGTGCGAAATCGGTAACACGTTTTCGGAGGTTGTAATCTGTCGTCGGTTTTGCCCAGCGGGTGGTCAACCCTTTTTCCGGGCTTTTTTACGCCTGCCCGACCATAATCCCTTAAAACGCTTAGAGGCGTTCTTTAGGGTAATTTCTTCACGGTGAAGAAAGGGCGCACCTCATCCGACGGGTCCCGCATCGTTTTATTCGGCAAGATGCAAAACACCTCTCGTACCCCTCTCTCCCGCCTCCGAAACGGCAACTGAAATCATCGTTCTTTGCGCGAGAATCCTTGGCCTTGCGCGGAACACCACCCCTGACGAAGATTATGCAAAAGAGGACTCATCCATTCCTTTCTTTTCCCTCCTTCGTAACTATCCTTCACCTTTGCCCCCTCCCCCCTCCCCTCTCCTTCCCCTCCTTACCTCCGCGAAAGTCCCCCCGTTGTCCTGTTTCTTGTTTCCCTTATTTCTTCTCTCTCCCTCTCTTTCGTCATTTTCGTCCCCTCGACACGGTAGTAGTACGAAAATTAAAATAATGGTTCCCGCAACCCCTGCTAGCATTTTTTTACTTCTTCGATCGGCTTTTTCTGCATGTGCACCTTCAACGCGGCAACGACAGCCGGCATGCAAATCGTGCGCAACGGGATTTTTGTCTCCGTTCGGAGAGACAAAAAAAAAAGGAGCGGAGAGAAGTAAGGCACGGTTTATTGTCTCGGTATACCAGGACCGTTCGTTAAGGGACCGGTGTCGAAATAAGATTTTTTTTTATCTCCGCGCACAGAATGCCTCTAGATGACGAAGCCGTGTCTGCTATTGGCTAATGAATTTCTGGGGCAATGTGCCGCGATGAAATGAAAAAAAAAAAAGACGGGACTAACGTTCACTTCGTATTGAACAAAATGAAACGGTGAAACGGAAGTTTCACGATGAAGCAATTTATATCGCGTCATCGTATAACGATATTCCGATGCAACAATTTTTTGTATCTATTTTAGCATTTCATATAGAATAGATTTTTTTATACATATAACAACGTACGTCATCAAGTGATTCTTGTACAATTTTTTCGGATGGTTTTTTTGTAACTATAGTATTATTTTTTTAATAAAAATTATTTTGATTAATATTATTAATATATTTTTATTAATTAGGAAAAGAGAATTATCATATTGTTATTCATGATACAAATTTTATGTTTTTATTTTATTTTTTGTGTGTTAGATCAATATATATAATATTATCTAATCTCTTATTTTATAAAAGTGATTGAAAATCTACTTCAACTATATATATTTCTAAATGATCTTCTATTATATGTTTGAAAACAAATTTTTTGTATTCTTTTACAATTAGATTTCTCAGTTAAGTATTTATCACGTCATCGGCAACACTGTTTCTTAAAAATCACCTCTTTACAACGCAGTAGGTAGATGTTACATTCGGTTATATGTACAATAGAAACAAAGATATGAGGTCGTGCAATTCATGCATCGGCCTAACACCGAGTCCTTTTTGGTGGCGGTGTCACAACATTTGGGCTCAGGATAGAGTTATGGCCGTCCTTTTGCCGTACTTTTCGGCGTACCGATTCTCTCCTGGTTCCCGTTTGTCGTTTATATCCTTGTTCGTCCAAGTGGAAGACATTTTCTGCGAATTTCAACCCTTCACACCACGTATTGTCGGAGCAATGAGTTTGCTATCCGTACGTGACTATTTTTATTGTGAAATTACATTCGTGGAAATCTTACTCATATGACGCATGTTGTACGTTCTTCTCTATATTTTTATATTTTATATTTACATATATAATAGGTATATACAGATATATAAATCTTGTACATTTAACACAATTGCTACAATTAATTTTATCTACGACAAACATTGTAGAAGAATACATTAGAAGGTATATATTTTTAAAAAAGTTATATATAATCGAAGAGAAAAGCAAAAATATATATCAACTTTTTTTTTGTTGAGGTATTTTTTTCACGTTACCATATGATTATTTTTTTGAAGTAACGGTAAAAGACCGGCAGCATGAAAATCGCGGCTGCGTTTTTAGAGGATCGTGTCCCAAGAAACGTGACTAAGAATCCATCGCGAGAATGTACCGTTTTCCATGAGGGTGCACCGTTAAAGGGTTAAAGAAAAAAAAAATTAGCACCCGTTCTATTAGGACAGGAGAAAAAACAGTGTCGGGTGCTTCCGGCGAAGACGCGAACATTGGCATCGGATGCCCGCTCCCGGAACCGATTCGGATGAAAAAACCGCATATAGTTTTTCGACGGGCTCGGGGTGGCCGCCCTAGGCAGTACCGTAGAGAGGTGCGTATGCAGATGATCGTGAATGTCAAGTAACAAAGGGCCCATAGTCTCACGCTATTGTGCCGTGGCAGGTAAGATAAAAGTGGCTGGCCCATGGGCCCTGTAGATCCCCACAACAACGTGGCTGCACCCCGAAAAACGCACTTATACACGCACAAACAGGACGGCCGAAGAGATGTCGGGTGACCCGGTCTAGTAGACCAACTCTTGATGTCTCTTTAATTTTTATTAATGACAGCGAATTTGAATTTTTGCATCGGTGATATGGGAACCGCGTGCGGGACGTTCTTGGAGGGGAGATTGTCAGGTATGAGAGGCGGACGTACGTACTGAGAGCACGTCGTAAGTCGCGTACGTGACCGTGGCCCTGGGAGCCGCGCTTAAGGGAGATCCTCGTCCTCGTCATCGATCATAATTATCCGCTTTCGTACTTCGTTGATCCGCGCCGT